AACTGAAAAACCCCTATGCGCGCCTTACTCAAGGGCACGTGGTAGTCAAGTAAATACAGTAGATCTCTATGCCCAAGATTGGCAGAATTCCTCAGAAATATGAAAATAACATTCAGAAATATTTATTTGTATCCACAATTTTTTTTTAAAATCAGCAAATATTCCACCTGCATGGAGCATTATTTCCAATGCTTCAAATTTCATCCCCAATTTAGCAAAATCCTTGAAACAAATTCAAGGAATAGAAATATTCTGCTTCACAGAAGTCAATCCCATCAAATGCAGTGGTGCCAAGAATCCCCAGTACAGCACAGTACCCTGAACGACCAGTACTGAATAACTCCTGGCCCCCCTCCCGAATTTTATTCGCATATGACATAAACTTCCAAGGCAGTGAAGCGTGTGATGATGAAGAACCGCACCGATTTAAAATATGCTCCAATCTGATCCTCCCTCCAGGAATTTATTCATCATCTCGTCTGCGCAATATATTTTCCTGTCCAGACCAGCCAGGGCTGTGCGTATACATATCTAAAAATATATGGTTTTTTTTTAATTAGAAAAAAGAAACTGAGAAGATTGGAGGGACTAATTGTAACTGGGAGGAAGACGTTGACCGAGGCGGCGGTACGTCCTCCGTGAACAGGATCTCAAGTCCGCCAGTAGCCCGCTCAAGGACAATAGTAGTGGAATAAAAAGATAGTTTTCTTACATCAGTCCGATTTCACCGAAGCCGGACCCTAATTTTTAATAAAATAAAAATAAAACGAAGAAAAAATGAAGGTATCCGACGCCACTGAGGCGGGCTTCTTTGCGCGGGTGTAGCAGGAACCTGTGTGATCCGCCACCATCAGGTTCTGTTACACATACAGTGGAACCCTGACCCAGACATATACATGGATGATTTGACTTGAGCACACTTGAAACTAAAAATCGTCTCACTATATTTTACATCTGATGGACAATGACTTTAGATACATACACTTTCCAGCATTTGTATGGAAAAATTAATAAAAAAAAAACAATTTTGATACCTCTTGAACAGCAAATTCAGATTTATTGATTCATAAAAATTAAGAAGGGATTTACTAGTAAATTATTCTAAGTCATAATAAAAACAGGCCAATATTATGTTTCTTTTTTCAGAGCTTTTTTCCATTATGCATTAGCTTGATTTGTTTTTATTGGTCTTGGCTTCTTAACCTCCTTCTGACGATTAACCCTTCTGAGGCAAAGGGTTCTTTCCTATCACAGGACTGAGTTGGGATTTTCTGGAGTGGGTCTGTGTTTCATTTTTGTTGAAGGCCATGGAGGTCCAGCAAGGTGGGCTAAGGCAAAGTTGGACTTGGTCTGGGAAAACTGTTGTGTTCAGATTTCCTGAAGTTGGACTTGAAAAAAAAACTAACCCTTCCTCATGCACCAATAATGAAAGGATTGAGAGCCTCCCAATAACAAAACTAATTTAGCCAGGGAAAAAAAAGTTCAGCCTTGGGGATGGAATTTTTTCTTCTAATTTTGAGTGAAAATTTTCTGTGTTTAAAAAAGAATCATCAGAAATTTTCCTGACTTTGCCCTGGATGCACTGCCCTGCATTTTTTGAAAGCTATTTGTGCAGGCACTAAATCTTATGAAAAAATTCCAACTTTGCCACTCATAAGATCAGATAAATTCTGCAAGGTTTTTTTTGGTACAGTTATCTTCTGCATCTTGAATTGAGGAAAGAATTTCATTTTATTTCTTGGGGACTTAATTCAAGATTTTTGATCAATGGAAGAACCAGGGAAATATGTTCCCATTATCAAGGTTTATGGGTAAACATGATCAGACATATGGATGCACCAAGATAGGGACAAAGTCCAAGCACTAATTATGTCTGGATCTCAGGGCCTCACTTTAAAGTGGGCTGCTGCATACCAAAACTAATCCATTCCTGGATTACCCATGTGACTACATTGCTAATGATTTGATTTGCTCCAAACCCTAGGCTAAAGACCATGAAAAACCATAAAATTTGTGTATTTTTCAGCATTGAATTGTGAATATAAAAGTGACCAGTATGAAATTGAAGTAATCCTAACCACTTCTTGCTGTTAACTTCTTGAAATTCAATAATTTTAAAGACTCAGAGATGAAAACGACACCCTTATGTTATCATATTCCAAAATTTTTGGAAGCAGAACGGAGTTCAAATTACATTTTAATGCAACTTTTTAGCCAAAAGTTTGGATTTAAGTATCTTTGTCTGTGTGCAGTTATGGAATCATTTTAAAAGCCTACCCAATGCTCCAAATTCATTGAATATCGAATTTTGAGATTGCAAACTTCCAAAGAGCCTTACACTGATCAATGATTACAGTAACTTTTAAATTAGGCCAAGAAATTTGGGAATTTCAATCAAACAAATTCCTATAGCTACACTTAAAATTTTTTTTCAAACCATTATACAGTACTTACAAAATGTGAAGTGTTTTTGAGTGTGTGTACAAAACAATTTTTCCAGGGTATTACTGAGTACCCTGTTATTCTGGCACAAGGACTGACTTCTTAAAAGGACAATTGACATTCCTCTGGTTTTGGACCAGGACACACCCTTGTTTCCAGAAAACCTGCCCAAGATAAGGCCGCATTAAATAATAACGTAGCAGAATTATCATTCTTGATTATCTAGATAAATCTTGATGCTAGAAGATTCCATCCTCCCAAAAAATATGACTGGCTCATATTTTCTAGGAGATTCGTTGCATGTTTTCTTGGCACTAAAAGGAGTCATGATCAAAGTATTTATAGGAAATAACACCTTTCTTCGCATTTGAAGCAAAGGTTATAGGCGACCATCACCAAATCAATCCACCTGTTTTGAACTTGAGGAAATGGGCATAAGTAACAAAAATATTTCTTGTACAGCAGTCAAGCCTCTCCAAGCCAAATATCAAGGGACCAGCCAAAAAATCAAATACCACTTTGGAAGGTTTTGACTTGAGGACGTTTTGAGTTAGGAAAGCAAGCATAATTTTTTTGTTGTGTGAGAAAAAACACAGTATAATTGCAGGATATTGTAAATGGGGGTATTGTGGGCCTTGAATTGTTCCTTGAATGAGTTGATGAGATTCTGAAACTCTTGGAAGCAGGGGTTCATTTGTCCAATTATAGTCTTTCACTTCTTTGAAAAACACATCATTACTTTTTATTGCTTTTTACTTTGCCATAGTTGTCAAGAAAATAGTAGCCAAAATGTCTAAAAATATTCCAGTCATGGAGGTTTTAAAGAAAATGCCTTTGAGTCATAAAGGATTTTAATGCCTTTTTTTCTAAGGGGATTCAGAGGAGGACTTGAAACAAATTTGACTTGGGGAGGTTTGAGTTATTGAGGTTCAACTGTACAGTACAGGTATTTATAATAGAATTTACGAATGAAAGAAATATTCTGATTTGAATCACAAGTTCAATGATGTCCAAAATGCTTTATTTCAGGACAACCTGGTAGCTTTCAAATTTCCACTTGACAAACACTGGTAACTAAGGATGTCACACATACGCATCACTATCAAACAGAAAAGGGTGCATGATTTCCCAAAAAATTTGAAAACAGAATCACTGAGAAGCAGAAAAAATCCTTGTTGCAAATGCTGGGGAAATATATATACTGTATTCATTAGAATGAGAATTTTCTCCTACAACATAATTCAAATAATTAAATTACCAGGGAATATTCAAGACGCATCTTTTATAGACACATCTCATAATTGAGTATAAATTTTAGCCAGAAACGGATCAGAAAGAAGATAGAAACTGAACCAGATTAGTTCTTTCAACCGTGTTTTAATGGATGAAAAAGTTTAAATGTTGATGAGGGATTTCTGAAAGTCTTGAAAATCGCCAAAATCAATTGGTGTAATTATTCAAAATATTAGTGATCATTTCAAGAAGTAAAGTTCAGCATTTGAAGAAAAAAACAACTCTCTTCTTCTAAACTAAAAACGAGAAACAATGAGAATGAATTTTCAAACATCCCTTTTCAATCATCATAAGGTTTATGGTTAATCAACGTATTTAAGATTTTTCTGTGTAATTTTCAGAACCCTGCCCAACTAAGAAAAATGTCTCCCCATTAAAAATTTTTTTCTCACTGCACTGATTTTTGGAATGATATTATTATGTCAGCAATTTTACTTTAGAAGAATGCAAATAGAAACTATATTTCTGAAGATGTGGTGGCTGTGAAGAAATTTTATGTTAGTTTTGGCAATTTATATAGGATTATATTTACAGTAAAATGATTGCTGCATATTTTAGCCAATCCTGAAAATTTCTTAATGATGGCCCTTATATATAATAAGACCTTGTTGCAAGAAAGCCATTAAGACCATATAAAGGAAAAGAGCTTCATCATAGCAACAAAGAATTCATTATGAAAATTCAAATGAGCTGTCAAAAATATAATTGAGGGGTGTTTAGAAATACGAGATTTACTGGAATCATCAGAAGGCCAATAATCCAGAAGGAATCTTGTGGGACTTGAGATGACCTTGAGTTCCCACAATCTTCCTCCCTAAGCCTAGAGATGTCCTCTAAATTCATTACGCTGAAAGGCCTTGTGATCCAAGGATATCCTTTATTGAAAATGGATAGTTTGTTTGTTGGAAAAACAGTATAAAAGCAATGACAATTTATATCCAAGACACAGTCCAGTTCAGACCTTGCGACAGTCCAACAAATCTTTGCGTTGTTGTATGGAAACTTCTCAATTGGTTTGATAATCTTCACATCTGTTGAGCTCAATTCCTTTTTTGTGTCAATTCGAAAAATATACCATTTCATACTAGGACTTTGGTCCCAGCCGCAGCCTGGCTGATTATCTCATTTTATTTATCATACTTTCATCATCTATCTCTAATTGATCTTGGTTTGAACAATTTTTCTCCTTTTCAATTGGAAGGATAAGGGTTTTCTTTCCTTGTCTGAAAGTCTAAAATATCTTTCTGACATGAGCTTTTAACTTAGGGCAAGGGAAAAATAATTTCTTGTAACCAATTCCTTATTGTAGCAAGATCATACTTCAGTGGGTTGAATTGAAATTGGATGATGTACACTTGTGCAGTATTTAAACTAGGTTCCTTCTTACATTAAGAGTCCATTTTTATTTAAAAAAAAAGGTTAATGAATATTTCCACCACGTTTCATCTGACTACACCGAAAATTCTTTTGTTAATCTGCTGAACTTTTGATGAGCCCCACCAATGATACTTCACCGCCGTGGACTCAGAAAGACTCCCAATAAAAGAGGGTGAATAAATAAAGGGCAAATAAATTATCACTGGAAACCAGACAAACAAAAAATCAACAACGTACGTATTCTCAACAAAGAGATCACATTTTTCCATGGTCAGGGAAAAATCCCATGGCTTTCCCTGCAAACTTTCTTCTGCTGTGCACTATTCCAACCTGTTGTCCCTTGATTTTGTTACAGGGACAATCCTGGTTATTATGCGAATGGTCTCCATGACCTCGTCTTTGGCTGCTTCTGTCACGTTCTTCTTCTTCTTGTCGATCATCATCGTCTTCTGCCGAGGTCAAAGGGGCGAACATGGCCGACGAGGGTTTCTCATCATTGGCAGAATTTGGCACTAAAGACGGGGCATTTTTCCCAAATAAAACTGACGTGCTGGTGGCTAGAATGTCTTCGAGGGATTTTTTCACGTCGGACTTGAGTGTCTGGCCCAGGAAGGCCAGCATGTCCACTGCGTAGGCCTCTGTGAACTCGTCCAGCATCTTTTGGTGAAGGAAAATGGCTGAGTCTGGGGGGTAGACTTTGATCCCTTCCAGTTTCAGGTTTCCATCTGGTCTCTGGAATAATGAGTGAATTCAATTGTGAAGGAAGCAACAGCACCATTTTGATTGCAATATTTAGTGCATGCATATCTCCCATTCAGAATGAACAGAACAATAAAAAAATACATTGCAGATGGACATTACAAGCTTGAAGAATTCTGTATACGAGGTGGAAACCTCTTTATTTCAAACATCTATGGTTAGATGCTTGCAAACATTTCTTGAAGAATGTGTATAATCTAGAGCAGTGTACCTCAACCTTTTTGGGCCCACAGACCAGCTGCAAATTTCCATCAAGTTTGTCACTGACTGATGGCAAATGAAAAAAAATTCTGTGGACCAGTAAATTTTCATAAAATGTTTGCCAACTCAATAAATTTTTGCTTGAAAGATTTTATGGCAGGCGTTTGAAACATTTCTCCTTTTCTGAAAAAAATTAAGTTAAAAACCTATGAAGCAGATACAGAGGAATTTCTTCAGATAATTAGAAAGGTTTGCTTGAAGAAAGGTTTCTCATAATCCAAATTGAAAAAAATGTTTCAGCATGTGAAAATTTGTCTGCATGAAGGGTTATCAGGAGAATGCAAACTTTTATTTTCTATAAGATAATTTCAGCTCGTTAACAGAAAGGTTTTTAAGTCTACTTCTATGGTCTGGAGTAACGATACAAAAAATTTAAATAATACGAGTTCTTTTCAAGGACGACGTCTAGCCGTTTTATAACGTGAAGGCGTCTGACCGTGGAGTCTGCAGACCATCATGGATTGGAGAAAACTGATCTAGATTTCCCCAATACTCAAAGATTTTCACCAAATTTCCTCAACTTGAATTTTCTGAGTCAATGGAGTTCTCAACTTCTCATTTGGGGTGTACACATGCATGTGGGTAGTGCTGGGGACCACAAAAATTAAGGATTTTTCTTTTCCTTGCAACAAAAATGCTTGTTTCCTCAACTTGAAACCTCCAGAAATCAAAACCTCCCCAAGTCAAATTTTTCCCTGGTTCCCAGAAATTTGACTGAGAGAGGTTTGACTGCATACAATGTGGTGTTGTTTGGATGCTCAGAATGATTCCAGTCATTGAGTGACATCTATATGTCACTCAATTCAAATAGAAAAGCAAAAGGATAGATGTCGTTGCTTGTTCATAAACAGGGTCAGCCCTTAGATAAATTAACTCTTACCCCATAGGAAAACTTGATGGACCCTGACAACACGGGAAGGCGAGATATTTTGACTGTAGCATTTGACGTTGTCGACGAATGTCGGAAGGTGTCAGCACTGGTCACAAGGTCCACTCTTTCATGAACATGGAGTCTCGCGTAGAATGTCACGTTCGTTGCGGCGAAGAAACATTTGAAATGCCGTTTCCCGTCCACCTCGTCGTCCAATTCAACGTCACTCACTCGTTTCAGCGTTGCCAATCCACGGAATTCACCGTCTTGCGTGACCCTCACACTCGCTTTCCTGGGGCAATAATTTAAACATCATCGTAACTATATAAGGTATGCCTCATCTGATCCCTATGTAACCGTCATAATTCCATTGAAAAACGGAAGAATAAGAAAAAAAAACTTTTCTATAGGCGAAATCTCGTCATTTCTTCGGGAATCGGGACCACGAAAATCATTATTACATAATTTTTTTATTGCATTGAGATTCCGTTAAAATCAAGAATTTTTTTCTGACATAAGATGAGGTTAATCATTTCAAATCTGAGGTTTTTTGCTACCGTTGCACAAAAAGTTATTGAGAAAAAAAATTCCTATAGAATAACACATGCATCAGAGGAATGCAGTAACAATAAAGTATCTTCAGAAAAATTAATTTCGCTGCTGATGAGATGCACAAGTAAAAGTAAAAAAAAAAATTATTGAAGAGCTGATTGGTTATTACCTACTCAACGATTTGGAACTTTTTCATAACAGCGCCGTCTTTTTTTTTTTTTTGCTCATCTGTGTCTTTATATAGAGTTTCGGTTGACAGCTTGAAAAATTTTCGAAAAACCCCTAATAATAGTATTTGCCATATCAATTTAATTCGACAAATATGTATGGCTTATTTAGTAAATTGTTATTCAATATTATTAATTGGACTCTAATGAAGTTTTCGCAAAATGAAAAATTTGTTTCACCTGAACAAAAATGGAAGGTATGAATATAGAAAAGTGTGAAAATCATAGCCGTCATAATTTTTAAAACGAAAAAAAAAAACATTTGACATCTTCCTTTTTGTTAAGAATCCCTTGTTTCCAAGTTATTTTGTCCTACTTCCTGTATTTTATGATAAATTGTTTCTACAGCTTCGCCTGTCTTCAAAAATGCATTCGAAACTTGATTAAAAAAAACTTCCGAGAGGTTCTAAAACAAGTTGAAACAATAAAATACTATTCCAGCGAACACTACAGTAGATCACATATACGACTGTTCTAAGATCAATAGATTACGTTCTTTAAATTTATAGACGCTGAAAAAATCTTACGATTGTAAGATAGTTGGTGCTCTGAAGTCTTCGTCTTCTCCAACAGCCTCATCTAGATCAGCAGACGTTTCCGAAGCATTCTGATTCGATGAACTACTCATGGTTTCTACAGCCGACACTCGTTGGATGACGTTAGCGACACCTTCCTGCAGCTTTTTGCGAAAGAATCCTCTGCCCATCCGAGACTTCGGCAAGGGGTCGCCTTTTTCATTAGAAACGGATCGTGCTTCCATAGACACGAGCATGTTTCCGACTTCCTCTTCATTTGTTGGATCCACGTTCCGGTTTCCGCGATGCTTTCGAAAGGAAACAGAGGTGTCGTTCCCTTCGGACGGGAATTGGGCTTCTTCGGGCAACGGCAGGTACGATACGAGATCATCCAGAAGATTTGAATTGAGTTTCTCGTGAAGGAGTTCTCCGAGAAACGACGAATTCATGACTTTGGTCACTGGAACCCTTGGATGAAAATGTTTAGTCAGAAATCTTCTCGTCGTAGGGTATTGAAATAAAATTCACTCATGTCTGTATTTTTTATTCAATACTAGCTCTTTAAATTGGGTGTATTTCTTATCATTTAAAATCATGGTAAATACGAAAAGCGGAAACTTCCAAGCGAGAATTAGACCAACAGGGAATTAATCCATCTAAAAGGAAGAAATACATTTTTACATCTATATACAGCAAAAGGCCTGATTCAGGTAAATTCTTTTTTTCTTTTTTTATCTTCGACTTGTGAAAAAACGCCAAGTTGTGAAGCTATTTTTGAAATTGTTTTTTAGATTTTTTTTTTTAAAGAAGGTGATATATCGCATTATTTACGGGAATTGAATATAACAGGGAAATTTGGACTTCCGATTTTTGAAAATTTTCGTGAAGAGTTGAAGACTGATCTATATAAAACCTGCTCGAATTAATATACAGTACTGTAGTAACTGTAACTATACTCAGTAGTAGATCTCAGGACTGAGATCAAAATCAGAATAGAAGAACCTACGAAAAATCATGCTCTTCTCCTAGGTACACAACTCGAAACTAGAATAACAGGTCGAGACACTTGTACTCTAGGCGGTCGAACAACTTGTGGTCACAAAGAGGACGACAGTTTCCGCCCCCACAACCTGGACGTTTTTTATATATATATTTTTTTAAATAAATTGAAAATATATAAATACGGTAAACCAAACGCATGCTGGAAATCCTATACAGTATGTGGTTTATTTAATTTGTGAACACTTCAAACGAAAAATATCTGCCCAACGTCTGGACAATATCTCAGGAAATGGACGAAGCCAAAAAATATTCATCAACATTGTTATGCATCATAAATATTTAGATATAAAAACTTGAGCCAACCCAGGGATTTAAAGTTAGAATAAATATGGGAATAAAGTTATTCTATTACGTGTAAAATTTAAGTGTAAAATTTATTCCTACTCTTATTGTTGTGGTTTTTTTTGCACTGAAAACTGTTTAGCTCTTTATAAATATTGCGTTTTGGGCTCCTTTTTCATGTAGAAAAAACATGGTGTGCTTTTTATTCTGAAAAGTTATTTTCTGCGTTTCAAAGTTGAGAATACTGTAAATTTTTTGTTGAACTTCTGGAGGAATTTTCAGACTTTTTGAGCTGATTATTTTAAAATATGTTTCCAAAATAAAATGGTCTCTGACTAATTTAATGAATTTCGAGGAGGATTTCAATTCTTTTTATTGGATCCTGTCTTTCAAAAAACTGGAGACAGGAACATTTTGGTTTGTTAGATTGCTGAGAAGAACTTTTCAACATATTTGATTATGTTCGCATGTGTTTGATTATGTTATCTTTCGTAAAAAAAAATTTGAAAAAATTCGAAGCTCTGCGAAATACGAGTAAGTTATTTATACGAAAAAGTGCCAATTTTGTCTGAAAATCGGTGCGGTGTCAAATTACTAAACCAGCGCAATTTTCTTCATGAATATAAACTCAAAAAAATCGTCACGATAAACTGACGATCAATGAATTTCTGAAGAAAACAAAAATCAAAAGAAATTTTAATATCCGGCCTTCAAAAAAAAATCATAGAAAGAGGGCAATTTTTTCCTCAAATCCCTCTCTCTCTATCATAGTAAACTGACCAAGTTGTGTCAACAGCGGGATGCCAAAGAGTTGTGCCAATTGCTCCAACGACGTAATCTCCGCCGAAGTAAGTGACCCCGCTTCAATCGACACTGACGGTAACGTCGACTTCTTCGTCGTCGTCGTCGTCATCTGGGGTGAATCTTCTCCAGAGTTATCCGTCTCAGTGCTGCTGCTGCTGCTGGCGACTCGCTCCGTTGTTCTCATGAAATTCTCCGCCATGAGTGTCGACACTGTCGACTGCTCTTCAGCAGCAGGTGTCGACATCATCATCATCGTCGTCGTCGTTTCTTCAGCAGTAAATGAAGGTGTCGCTTCTTCCGGGGAGTCGTCGATGAAATCATTCGGCCCGAAGATATGATGATGATCGTTATTCCCGTCGAACAGCACGTTTGCGTAGAAGGAAGGATCCCCTTGTTGTGGCACCAACTCAAATTGAGGTGCATACTGCCACAATTTTCAAAAAGAGGGGAAAGAGATTATCAGACAAAATGAATTCATGAAACATTGCATGAATTGAAAGGCCGCTGCTGGAATTTCATTTCGCCAAAATTCCTCAGCTTGTGGCACAAATAGGAGAAGTTTAAAAGATCAGAATTCTGTTTCATCATGTGTGCTAATTTGTTTTTTTTTCGGGAAAAGGGGTTTAGAGGGTTTTGGAAATTTTAAAACTACTGTATACATATAGAAGGAAACTTCTCTATTGTAAGTCAAATTTGAAGGGGCTTAAGAAAAAACTTGGGGATTTTTTTTTAGAATTTTGTAATGATTTGCGCAGCAGGTTTAGTCAATTGAAAATTGTTTTCTGTTATAAAAATCAAACAAGTTTATCCTTCAACCTCCTACTTGCAGGAAGTTGTTGCTTATTTTCTCATGAAAAGAATTAAAAGGAGAAAATGCATGTTTCTCTTTTGGGTTTTATAATATCTATCCTCTGTGTTACAATCAACTGCTGATATGCAGTGGCAATTAATAAACCTTTATAATATTCATGCTAAGAAAAATCCTTCTTGAATTTTTCCATTATAACTTGGCAAAAATTTGACAAGCCTGTCGAAAATCTGATGTAAATTCATTTTTCAAATTGGCCGTTTTACAGTATATGAAAACCTGGCAATATTCAGATTTTAAAAAATGGAAACTTAAAAATATTCAGTGACGTCATTTTTGTATGCTTGGTTTCAGAAGAAACTAAATTTTTCTTATTTGTTCATATATTTGACCAGAAAAATCGAAGGATTTTTCCGTTTAATTTTTTAAAGTTAAATTTGACTCTTTTATTAAACATGGCAGTCCTAATTCCCCACCAGAATAATCTGCCACTGCTGAAGGCTGTGAATGAGAACAATTAACGTCCAACACAGCGTTAATTAACCGAATTAACAGAAACAAAACAGGTCAAAACACAACAGAGAAAAAGAAAACACACCGCGCTCCAGATGTCATCTTTTTTTCCCCCTGAAAAACAAAGATTTTTAGGAAAGAAAACGAAAGCGTCAAATGTAATGACATTATGATGAAAAAAATTCTCTCGTCATAAAAAAAATCTCTCAATCTGTAGGAATTATCTTGTAGCAAAAAAATAAAAATCAAGGCGAAGAAAGGACTGAGAAAGTTGGAATCACTGACTGACTGACGACTTGACCCAGAGGACACAGCAATTGTGTTTCGCATACCTTCAGCGAATAGTCGTTTGAACAAACGCGGAAATGTGGATCGGGGTGAAAGGGAATCCCAGCAAGTCATTGTATCCTTCTTTATGACTTAATTAAAACTTCGTGGTACGTGAATTAACGCTAAGAGATAAGCCCCCCCCCCTCGAGGTCATATATCCGAGAGAAAAGCATTCTGCACTTTTTTTTCAAAGTTTAACATGCAAAAGTCAGGCCTCATTTGTGTATAGTACAGTATAATGCGGTCATGGACTTGAAGGTTTGTGCGAATAATAACGGATTTGATTGAAAGATATACATTTTCAATTATATATCTTTGTGCATATTAAAAAAAAACAACTGCATCAAGATGAATGACTTGTTCAACAAATACAATTTTAAATCAGAAGTCAGTGTAAGCGCTATATACAATTTCTCCTCAAAAAATATTCCTTCTAAATTGTTCAATCAATTCCTAATTATCTGGGAACAGACTTAATACCTGGTGCTTATTTTAACCCTTGGACAACATCAGAGGGTTCCTGGCCATCCTGTGGCTAAGTTGGGACTTTTTGGGGGGACAGCACATTTTAGTTTGACCAAAGGTCACTGAAATGCACCCAAGTTGAGAAAAATCTGAAAAGCGTGAATTCTTTTGTATTCCAAAATCTCTAATGTTAATCCTATATAAAAGGAATTCCTGAAAAAAGCCACCCAATCAGGATTTTTGGAAAATTTTGAGACACATTTTTCTTTAGGATTATAAGAAAAAATTGGAATTTTTCCCAACATAGGCCTTGGCGCAAAAATTGAATTTTTCAATTGTCAGTGTCTGTCTATATACAGGTGGTACCTTGAAAATTTGACCCTAATCTATTGCCAAACTATGGTCAAATTGCAAATTGGTCAAATTGCAAGACGCTCCATGAAATGGAAAATTTTTTTTTAATGTTTGAAAAAAAAAATTCTCAAAGCGTGGGTTCAATTGCAGCGCAAGAGTCAAATTGTAAGTCAACCTCCCTGCAAATTTGACTGTTGAATTGTGGGATGGTTGAATTGCAGGAGGTCAAAAATTGCAAGGTACCACCTGCTGTACATTATTATTTGTTGATGGAATTATAGTCAGTATACTTCCCATCAGACCCCACAGGAAGAAGAAGAAAAAAAACTAATTGAAAGGCTCACTTATATAGTAAATGTCAAGAAATTGTTGAACTTTTACGATCTCAGAGGAGCCGTCCAATTTGCCCGCCCGACTTTCTCCCCGCGAATCGAACACGCGAGTAGATTTAAAACGCGGCTGTTTGCAATAATCGACCAGCACTTCACCATCCGGTCCACACACACACTCACATAAAGACGCGGAAAACAAAAGAAACTGAATCACAAAGAAGAGCAAACATGAAACTATCCTTAAAAAAAGAAGAAGAAAAGAGACAAAAAGCAAATAGCACACTCCGGGTAATGATTGCCAAACATCCGGCCACTTACACTTTCCTTCCCATCATCGCTAACAGCGATGCACCGAGTCACGCAGTTTCGACTCTTCTTATTGTAAGCAACAATTTTCCCCTCAATTGAGTTATGTCTTCTTTTTTTCCTCTTCAAAATTCAGTTTCCCTTTGCTGGAAATAACCTCACCCTGAGGGGCTGGTTACGATAATTGCCCGATCTGGGTGGCACTGTATGTAGTACTTGAGACGAAATGCCCTGATATAGCCAACATTTTAACTACTGTATAGGTAATGTACCAATGGAAAGCGAAATAAACAAAGAATTCATCAGGTTCTCAAGTAATTCAATCGGCTCGTTACACTTTGATCATTAAAAAACATAAACGATTTTTCATTGGAAATCAAATCATTGACTGCACTTTTTGACGTGAACATATTCCCGACACAACACCCAACATTCCAAGAAGGCAATAAAAGAGATGAGATTATGTTTCAATTATCTGATGCTGCAATTTTTATAATTGAATTTTTTCTTTTTGTTGTTTATGTTTGCTTCTACTCACACCCATGATACTATTTTGTGATATTTTCTTATTCTTTCTGATTTTAAATATGGGGTTTTCTTGATTATAGCTCAAAAATACAGGAAACAACATGAATATAGCTATGAAGGAGTTAAACTTTATTTGAGCCATAATTTTTACAAAAAATTACACAAACAGAATCTTGTTACAAATCTTGTTATAACAAATAATGAATTACAACAAAGCCCTTTTTAGGTCCCTGCCCAGTAGCCCTAATGTTATAAGAGTTGTTTTTCAATGAATTTTTCTTTAAAATGAAATGCATTCAATATCGCCTCAGTTTGTCTTTGTTGTATAGCACAATTTTACTGTATTTCAAATTTTTAAGTAAGCCAAAAAATCAAGATCTTAGTTTTACTTGAGGGTGTGTGATACACTGTTCATCAATTAACCCTTCCATATTGTTGGGGAGAAACTTACCTCAACATAAATTTGTTGTAATTTTGTAGGTGGATCAGAATGATAAAATGAAGTTCTAATTTGTAAAAATAAAAGACAGAATCAGCCTGGGACTAGGCTGGGGAACCTTTCGGTTTCCCTAATTTAAATTTGAGATTTATTTCAGGAAATTTGTCCCACAAGAACAACACACAAAAATAACTTTGGAAATTACAACACTCAACAGAACTCAGACAATATTCGTAAATATCGCGGTTTTGAAGCACTCTTCACTGTTCAAAGGTTCAATTGCAAGTGGGGTTCGAAGTTCTCCATGAAATTGGAAAACGGAAATCGGTTTCTGGTTTTTTGGTGCTGGTTGTTCTAGGTGAGTTCCTTCCCTTTGAGGGTTGGAACTCTTATCAAGATTTTTGCGCGGGTTTTTATGTAAGAATTGCATTTTGTGTTGGTCGGCGTGCGGCGCGGTTTTTTATATAATAACTGGTTTTTTGCGTTGTTTGGCGTGCGCGTTTCCCCAACACATATGTCAAAGGGTTCTTCCCCATTAATTGTGGGGTAAAGTTGGGATTTGCTTGAGTGGCCAAGTATTCTCTTCAAATTGTCCAATCAACTAAACCTTATCTGCTGGGAGCACGCCAAACAACTTGTGCTTTAAATTGGGATCAGTAATTGCCTGATGCTGCAATTCCTATTAATGACATTTTGTTTTTCTTATCAAGGAAAGGAAGTGTATGTATTTACATCAGTTGTGCAATTGAACACTTTGGGATGCTTATTTCTCCATTTTCCATTCTGATATGATGGAATGAGTTTGGATGAATGTGGGTGGGGACTGGGGAGGGGACAGGGGTTTAGATGCAGGAACAATGCTTGAAACTTGTGAACACTGAAAAGGGGAAAATAAAGCTTGCTGTTCAATTCAATGGGGTGGCCTCACGTTTTATTTTTTCCAAAGGTCATGAAAGCCTAGCCAGGTGGCCTAGGGTGAAGTTAGACTTTGTCCTGCAAAAACATGTTACTAATATTTCCCAAAGTTTGAATTTTTCTGCTAATCTTTTATGGCCTGTAAATGGGAAGCCATCCTTTGGTGCCAAAAAAAGGGTTGAGGACCTGAAAAT